ATCTATGAAGTTATGAATTGGGTTGGGCCTGATTGTGATATCATGTAAATACATGAATATGTTACCAATAGTGGACCCCATGTTAAATTGCTCACGCTCCATATGTCCTGTGCGGAGCTAGAGTCCTACATTTAGTTTCCCTTGAAGAATCACGATTTAGGAAATGGAGAATTTCTTGATAGAGAGCTCAATATTTCATAAATTGGCCTATTCAGCGCGAATCTAGATTAGTCAGACCAGTGAAGTGGGCCAGTTGTGTGCATTGCTAACTTTTATAGTCAATTTCTAATGTTGATCTAAGACTAATAAAGTGAAGAATTTCCACTATAAAAGTAACCTTTTATCTATGAATTCAATCATTCAATACTATACACTTCATTCTTCAATAATGCAAAGCCTTTCCATATGGATAATAACATTTATTTTTGTTGTTACTAAGGTTCAAAGCAGGATTTTAAGACTAAATTCTTCAGATCAATTTATCTCGAATGGAGTTAATCGAGTCGAAAATCAAGCTACGTATGGCCAATGTGACCATCTATATGGTTTTTTTCCGTGTGCTGATAGTGTTGGAGGTTTCATTTTCCTAATCGCGATATATCAGTACTTGTTGATCGTAGGAGAAAAGCTCGTCTCGAATGGAAGTAAGACTCTCTTCAACATACTTGGTACGGGCATCTTTGGGGCTACTCTGTTTCAAATCTTGAAGGCTTTCCCAAGGATTATCTTGGTTATTGGTTAGTAAAAATGTTATTTTTATCGTCGTTTTGTTTACCTTTTTCTTGTTTCGTTGGGTGTGTGAACAACGTCTATATGGTAAGTAGAAAAGAAAAGGAATGTGGCTAAATTGAAGATTTGTAAAGTTTTGGTGATTAGTCCAACTAAATTTGTTACCCAAAAAAAAGAAAAGCAAGTTACTTATAAGATGTTGAATACTCTTAATGATGTGAAACCTTTTGTGGAAAATCGTGTAGACTTGGTCTAAAGTAGACGGTATCACATATAAAAAGTATCTTAATTAATGTTGTTTTAGCCCAACAACTGGTATAGGAGCCAATAAGTTTGACGAGATGAGTATGAATATGGCGTAGGGCTTGGCTTAATATCTTTTGCCCGGCCCGTTTTTCTATCTTTGCCCATAATTTGACTACGCATACAAGCAAGTGGGCTTTGGTGATCATAAATACTGTGTTGATGTTGGGTGACACATAATTAATCTCGAAATTATGCCCATGAATAGTGATGGGTCATGTGGAACTTAGTTCAACGGGGAGATTATTGGTGAGTGTGAACAAAGTCCTACATGGAAAATAGGAAAGAAAAGGAAGCTACTTATAAGGTATGGTATACTCTTAATGGATTAAGGGCTTTAGGGAAAAACCGTACTGGCTTGGCCCAAAACAGACATATCACACCATGTCAAGAGTATCTTTGAGTTGTTTTAACCCGATCAATTAATTATGGTTTTATTATGATACTAATACTACTTTTTTTTATTGTAGCATCAGGAGTTTTTTCTAGTAAAGATAAAGCTCAAAATCAGGTGTCTACTGGAGTAAGCACTAATGTTGGAGCCACAGTCTTTAATCTTACTATTATGTGGGGAATATGTGTCATATTTGGCTCAAAAGAGAAGCATCAAAAATCAACTATGCAACCTGCAGAATCCTACTCACTTTTCAACTCTTTGCAGGTTTTAAGTAGTAAGTTTTCTATAAGCTCTTATAGTCTGTTTGGTTAAGCTTATCGGAAGTCCAAAAAGTCTTTTTCTTTTTCTTTTCAAAAAGTGCTTATTTTAGAAAATCAAGTTCTTTCACCAAGCTTTTAAGTAAAAAAAATAAGTATGTTTGAGTCGTAGCATGCATAAATTGTTTTTTTAAAAACTAATGAGGCATAATACACAAACGTGTCTTTTAGTTTGTTTTTAAGAAACTATAAGTAGTCAAATGTGTCCTATGTGGCATCTTGTGTGACGTCCTACGTATATTATATCACCTACAATATGTGTCTACTAGTTCAACTTTATACAAGTGTAAATGTCTACTTGTACACACCTAAAGTTGAAAGGGGTAGATGTTAGTTGATGTCAAGTTTAATGACACGTTTATGTATTATGTCAACTACAAAAGTAGCTTTTTTTTTTCTTTCCAGAAGGACTTTTAAGACCTTGGCCAAACACAAATAACATATCTGATATTAACAAAAGTGTTTTTCAAATTGATTAGTCAAACACAAATTACAGATCTAATATTGGCAAAAGTGTTTTTCAAATTGATTAGCCAAACATAAATTACAGATCTAATTTTGACAAAAGTGTTTTTCAAATTGATTAGCCAAACACAAATTACAGATCTAATATTGACAAAAGTGTTTTTCAAATTGATTAGCCAAACACAGATCTAATATTGACAAAAGTGTTTTCAAATTGATTAGTCAACACAAATTACAAATCTAATATTGACAAAAGTGTTTTTTCAACTTGATTAGCCAGTCACAAACTGCTACTCGATCCACAATAGTGAAAGTACGATTAATTCCGTCCATCGAAAAAAGAAAATTCTTTCAAATTTTCATGTTAATTATTGAAGCCTAAGTTGTGATCTTAATTTCTTCAATGTATTATTTTACAGATAAAGGTGTTACAATTGACAAAAAGACTAATTACACAGCAGGAATTATGTTTCTCTCCTTGATCCCATTTGCTCTTGTGCAACTTGTTAATGCTTTCAACACATATTTTGGAAGGCGTATTGTGATTTTCACCACACTTGTAATTTCAGTCACATTTTTATTGACATACTTCATTTATCAGGTAATTTATATCGAATCGCGAAAAAAAATATAATTATTTTACTATGAAACTTTATCCACCGTTGTTGCTTTTCTCCATGAGTAGTATTGCATGACATAAAAAGAATAGTCTGGTGCACGAAGCATCTCACATTCATATAGGGTCCAGGAAAAGGTCAAACCTTAAGCGGATGTAATAACTTATAAGAACGAGCTGAAAAAAACCCTTTAACTGTGTTTTAGCTAACATCTATGCCTTTCAACTTTGGATGTACAGAAGTAGACACTTAAACTTGTATAGAATTGAACAAACAGACACACACATCACGTGCTATGTGGCATAATACAAATCACTAGTCAATCTGCACACGTAGGATGCTACGTACGTAGGATGCTACGTACGTATTGTTCAATATTACACAAGTTTAAGTGTCTACGTGTGCATATCCAAAGTTGAAAGGGCATAGATATCAGCTGAGGTCAAGTTAATGGGCATGTTTATGTATTATGCCTACCTAATATGTTCGTTTATTGCGCAATTTTATTCTTATTGACTTGAAAATTTTCGATTTCTTGTTTTTTTTATAGCTTTTGGATCCATGGATTCAAGAAAGAAGTTTAGAATATTCGAAATATGAGAATCTCCTAGCTGCTTTTCTACAGCATATGCAAAGGCATGCAAGTGGGATGCTCATTGATAAACAAGGACGACCTGATATTCAGGTCATCCAAAGGTAGTTTCATGTCTGGACCTGTGCCTGCTCTGATACCATATTTAAGCGTGTAATTATTTTTTCGATGGTTGGTACTAACTAAAAATGTTGCTAGGTTATTTTCTGAGACAGATAGGGATGCAAACAAAAGCATAACACTTGTTGAATTGGAGAATTTGGTATACAATATGCAATCTGGGAAAATTAAGGTTGATAAAAATTATGCTATTTCAAAAATATTGACGGCTTTTGATCTTAACAATGACACGAGAATCGATGAGGACGAGTTTGTTGAAGGATGCAAAAGATGGATAGAAGAAGCTAAGATGTTAGCTAGAAGTGATGATTCTACTACTAGAAGAATTTTGCATGAGGTGATGATCTGAGTCGCTATCGATACTCTAAAATCTCTTATTTTCCCCTTTATGTTTAACAATAAATTAAAGATAGTGGTGCCTCTCTCATATTAAAATCTTGGGTCCGTCTCTGATTATTATATTTGAGAACTTTTCAATATGTTAACAGGTTGTTCAACATTATACTAAGAAGCAAAGGGATGAAATAGCTGAAATTGAGCAACTAATGGCAAAAATCTTGAAGCATGTTGAAAGCCAAGCATTAGAAGCTGAACACATTCTCAACGATGATGGAAGCCCCAACGTTGAACGTATAAAAGAGTAAGTTTCCTTCTAATTCCTATCACAAGAAAAGATCACGTGTGTTTGGTATGACAGAAGTCATTTCTCATAGTTATGGATAGGTCATTTTATCACGATTGATTGCTAACACATAATTAAGTTAGGTAGGTTTGGGGAGGTGATTTGAGTCACTATAGATAATATACAAACTTGCCTCTGCTCCTAAGATAAAAGGGTGATGTTTTCGGTACCCAAAATACAAAAAATGACATTCTCATGGGACATATATTCCTGAAAAATGACTTTGTCATACCAAACACGACTAAATAGACACATAAACTTGTATAAAGTTGAACAAGCAGATACACACGTCCTAGATGACATAATACACATAGGACACCACATATGACACAAAATTGCCATGTAGGATGTCACGTAGGACAAATGTGTCTAATCTTTGCTTGTAATGGTTGCAGAATCTTCCATCAATATGATAGTGATGGGAACAATTTTATAACACAGCCTGAACTGGAAAAATTAGTACTTTCAGTGAAATATGGTGATGTGCAACTAAATAGCGATGATTCGGTCAGGAAGGTGATGAATGATTTTGATACAAATTGTAATAACATGATCGATGAACACGAGTTTGTTGATGGGATGACAAGATGGCTCAATGAGGCTATTCGTGTGACTAATTGCAAGGACAAGAAGAGGGCCATTGATGAATATGACAAGGTAATATTAGCAATATTTGTCCTAATACTTCCATCTTGACAAATATATAGGAGAGACTGACTTATTTGAGCCGAGGATCTATCAGAAACAGCCTCTCAACTATCTAACTAGCCTCTTACTCTAATCCGTGTCCTCCATAACCTTCTATCTAATGTCATGTCCTCAGTAAGCTGAAGTTACGTCATGTCATGTCTAATCACCTCTCCTCAACTTTATTTTAAGGAATGATTTCTAAATTAAGAAAGTTCTCAAACCACTTTTGATCATCTTAGGAAAAGGATAAGTCTTTCTTTTTCAATTGAATACATAAAGTACTATGTTTGATTTTTTAGTTTATCTATAAGAGGAGATCATACTTGAGACGAGGGTCTATCGAAAACACCTAGCTCTCTACCTTCACAAGGCAAGGGTAAGGATGTATACACACCAACCTATCCAGACTCCACTTGTGAGATTACACTGGGTATATTCTTGTTTGTATGAAAAAATAGTAACCTATTCGTTTATTTCTATGGGATCCATGTTGAAAGAGATAAATTAAACAAATATGGTCGTCCCCTGTTGTGATGTACTAATTGATGTAGATTAGGGTTATCTGCTTCTTTGCTAACGCTACTAAGGACCTAGAGGTTTGCGTACTTTACTTATTAAAGATACGTTTACATGTTTATCCTTCAATTAATTGTTTTTCCTTTTTTAAGTTTCGATGTAAAGATTCCTATTGACGATTGACTTAATGTGGTCTTGTTTTGTGTCGTAGATTATGTGGGGTGAAGTTGAAAAATTGGTGTATGAGGTGGAAAAAGATGGAAAAATCAACTATAAATTGTTGACATGGGCATTTAACAAATCTATTTTTCAAGTGATTTTGGGAATTGCAATGATGACTTTGTGCTCAAAACCACTAGTAAATAGTATTAAAAAGTTGTCTGAAGCTATTGGAATGCCTTCTTTCCTAATCCCCTTTGTGATAGTACCATTGGCTCTAAATGCAAGAATGACAATAGCAGCAATCTATCCAGCAAGTCAGAAGTGCTCAAAAACTGCTTCTTTGACATTCTCAGAGGTAGGTAATAGTCTGGTTAGTCAAGCTTTCAAAATTTGTTTATTTTGGAAATTAGTGTGTTTTCGTCTGAAGTACTTTTCGAAAAGGCAGAATACATAGATAGACACCTTAACTTGGCCTCATCTGACAACTAAATAACCAACTTTGAAAATGTATATCTACACCTTAACTTGATTTAAGTTGTATATCTAGACACTTTAACTTGGCTTCATCTGACAACTAAATCAGACAACTTTGAAAATGTATATCTATACCTTAACTTGGTTTAAGTTGCATATCTAGACACTTTAACTTGGCCTCATTTGACAACTAAATCAGACAACTTTGAAAATGTATATATATATACCTTAACTTGGTTTAAGTTGCATATCTAGGCACTTTAACTTGACCTCATCTGACAACGAAATCAGACAACTTTGAAAATGTATATCTACACCTTAACTTGGTTTAAGTTGCATATCTAGACACTTCAAGGTGTTTAGATGTGTGTTTACAAAGTTGGGATATTCAGTTGCTAGTTGAGGTCAAGTTAAGATGTCTATCTATGTATTGCTTTTGAAAAAAAGAAGAAGTAATTTTAAAGAGTAATAGTTTGTATTTGGCGAATCAATTTGAAAAATATTTTTGACAATATTAGAGCAACAATCGTTGCTTGGCCAATGTTCCAAAAAGTGCTTCTGGACAAAGCTACTTTTTCCAAGTTCTAAAAAACAATTTCTGCTGCTACTCAAAAACACTTAATTTTCCCTTCTTGAAAATTTGGCCAAACATGCGAGAAGTACGAGTTGTGACGTACCTAATAACTTTTGCTTAGACCATGTATTTACATTAAAAAAATTTCATCAAGTATAAATATTCCAAGCTCAATAACTAAAACAGATTGTTCGTTTGATGACAAATTCAGAATTCATAAACTTTACATCTTATCTTTTTTGCAAATAGATATATGTTGGAGTAATGAGGAACAACATCATGGGCATGACAACACTATTGGCTATAGTATATGCAAAGGACTTAACTTGGGATTATTCAGCACAAGTGCTAATAGTTTTGGTGGCTTGTTCAATAATTGGGCTTCTTGCATTATTTAGCACTAGATATCCACTTTGGACAAGCCTCTTGGCATTTTCTCTTTACCCTTCTTGTGTGGTGTTCTTTTACCTTCTTCAATGAGTAATTCTTTGGTTGGGACTATTATATATCTAAAGCCCTTTTGTGTTAGCTGATTGTAAATAGTTAATAAAATTTTGAAGTGTTGAAATTGATATTATAAGTATGTAGTTATGCGTTTAGATAAAAGTATTGAAATTGATGACAAATAATTGATATGTGTCTGTTAAGAAAAAATCAATGATTAAAAAGAGAACTTTATTAAGAAATTATTATTTTGTTTTTACTTTGGTATACAATCATATTATATGTATGGAGTATCTATTTGTTTCCTCACATTATTATTTGTTAGTATTACTTTATTTTTTTAATTATATTATTGTTGTTTTTTAAAAATTTTTACTTGGATTATCTTTACTTACCACTAAAAAAATCACTATTTTCTCAAAAAAATTCATAGACATTTTGATTGAATCGATGAGAAAAGAAAAAAAATACTTAATGACTATTCCCAGTATATCAATGGGGAATTTGTTTTCCATCATGTGTTTTTACAATGAGCTAGTTAGTTTGGTGAAGAGATGAGATGAGAAAATCATGTTTTATAGAACAAATTTTTAATTAATTCGCGGCAGGAAAAAATCTCCATTTCTTGTAATGACTAGTTTTTAATGTCATATACCTCTTGTCTTCAATATTTTCATCATAACTAATTTTTATTTATTAAAATGTTTTTCTTAAGTTGTATCTCACAGAGATAAGATAAAATCTCCATATATATACCCATCTTTTTCTGACCTCATTTAAAAGGGGAAAATTACACAACAAGAAAAATATGTGATTTGTATTTACGATAGATCACTATAGTTTAAATATTATATTCGTTATATGTAGAATTTTATTGCAAATTTCTTTCTTCTCTCCTTCTCTCACCCTAGTCTCTCTCCTCCTACTGCCCTCGCCCTCTCACCCCCATTCAAATGTAGTGTGTATCAATTGTTTTCGATCAAATATAGATGAGAGATTTGTATTTTGTATCAATTGTATTCGAAAAAACTATTTTTGTATTTTGTATCAACTGTTTTTGTTATTGTATCAATTGTATTTGTGATACAATAACGTATACAATATACATTCATACGACTACAATATTCTATCAAATGTGTTAGGTATTAATAATTGTATCCAATCAAATATAGGTGAGAAATTTATATTTTATATCAATTGTATTCGAAAAATTATATTTGTATTTTGTATCAACTGTATTTGTATTCTATATCAATTGTATTAGTGATACAACAAATACAACATACATTCATCCTTTCTCGATCTCGCTCGCCTTTCTCCTCAGTCCTCACTCTCTCTATCTCACACACCTTTCTCCTTCCTCTTTCTCGATCTCGCTCGCCTCTCTTCTCCCTAGCTCTCTCCTCCCTCTCTCAATTTCGCGCCCTCTCACCTCCCTCTCTCGGTCTCGCTTGCCTATCTCCTTCTAATATGTATTCATTTTGATATAAATCAGTTTGTGTTTGTATTTTTTTTTCTCCCAAATTCATGAAAAAAATACAAGTATAAATGTGTAGCAAATCAAAGTGTAGCTGCGAATGTAACTGTAGCTAAGGAGTCCTATTTAAGGCATGATACTTGTTTTTATGAAAATTCCCTTTAAAAAATCATACTGTATATATTGTTGTTATTGATATAATCATACTATATTTACAATTTATTAATTCAACTAAAATATAAGGGCCTATTTAAAGGGAAAATATTTCTTCATCTTATTCATAATTCTCAAGACTCTAAGTGAAGAATTGCTCCAACCGACCAAAAATTAAGTAGTACCATACTAATTAAGCATATTAGGTAATTAAAGAGTTACTAATTAGGTTAATTAATATGATTGTTTTTTTCAACTTTAGTAGGGAAAAGAAAACACTAGAATCTTCAAGAATCCACTTGCAACAGCATAAAATCTTTTGTAATGTCATCAGATAGAGACCACCCACCAACCTTTTTCCCCCCTTTTTTCATACTTTTATTTGGGAACTAAAATAATTAAATCGTTTGATATTAGGAATAAAGAAATAACTATTCTGAGATTATTAATAATTTCATTATCTCGGAATAAGTTAATTCGAGCCATAAGTAATTATTACTTTTAAAGCTATTAATTAAGACAAAGAAAAATGACTCGTTTACACAACAAAATTTTAAGTGTACATCCCATCAAAAGATAAAAACACTACTAAGTGATATTTTACTATTTCGTTCAAGTTTTGATAGATAAAATTATTTAATATTATTAGTTAAAATGTGCGTAAATTATTTCGAACCTTGTAAATATAAACTTTTTAAATATGAATCTTGTTGAATATGTTGTATTCGTGGATGGAATTCTATAAACAATTTGAATCTGTGATAATAATTATATTCTATATTTAGTGCTCCCTCCATTTACTTTTACTTATCACAATTTGATGGAGGCAAAATTAGAATATCAACTATGAGTTCTGAATTCTATAAACGATTTTAATATGTGATGATAATTATATTCTATATCTAGTGCTCCCTCCGTTTACTTTTACTTATCATAATTTGACTTGACATACCCATTAAGAAAATAATTAATGATATATGTATTTTCTCAAACTATCCCCTATTAAATTAATTAAGTATTGAAAAATGATTTGGAAAATAAGTATTTCATACTCAGGGTAAAACATGAAAAAAAGTTATTGAAATTCTACAAATATCAAAATTGACAAGAAAAAAAGAAAAAGTTATTGACTTTCTTGATATGTCAAAAGTGACAAGTAAAAATGAAAATCTATTTTAGAAAACAGTGACAAGAAAAAGCGAACGAAAAAAGTAGTTATATATATTTAATAAATTTATTAACAGAAATGCATTTTATTTAAATAAAATTTACTGTGTTCGATCAAACACGCACGTGGATTACTACCCTACCTGGTCGAAGTGGAAACATGACATGACACATATATATAGTTGCATTAACAAATGTTAATTTGCACCTAATATGGATAAAACACCTTAACATAATCATTGATTTGTCCCCACATTTCTATCTATACTATATTTCATCATCATCATCATCATCATACTTTAGAAGTGATGGTTCCTCAACTACCACCAAACCAATCAAAAATGGCCACGTGAGCCTAATTAATATTTCTTTCTTTTATATAATACTTTCTATTTCTTCTATTAATATTTCTTTCTTTTATATAATATTTTCTATTTCTACTTCCTATTTCTTTCTATTATATTCTATTTTCTATTCTACTTCTATCTATTTTTTTTTTATTTTTTTTACTTACTATATATCATTATCATACTTCATCATCATCATCATCATACTATATAAGTGGTGGTTTCCTTGGATCATACTATATAAGTGGTGGTTCCCTTGGACTACCAACTTACTATATATCATCATCATACTTCATGCTATATCATTCATACTTTAGAAGTGGTGGTTCCTCAACTACCACCAAACCAATCAAAAATGGCCACGTGGGCCTAATTAATATTTCTTTCTTTTATATAATACTTTCTATTTCTTCTATTAATATTTCTTTCTTTTATATAATATTTTCTATTTCTACTTCCTATTTCTTTCTATTATATTCTATTTTCTATTCTACTTCTATCTATTTTTTATTTTATTTTTTACTTACTATATATCATTATCATACTTCATCTTCATCATCATCATCATCATACTATATAAGTGGTGGTTCCCTTGGATCATACTATATAAGTGGTGGTTCCCTTGGACTACCAACGGTATTCCCGTCATTTCCTTCCTTTTCTTTCTTTTATATAATATTTTCTATTTCTTTCTATTAATATTTCTTTCTTTTATATAATATTTTCTATTTCTTTCTATTAATATTTCTTTCTTTTATATAATATTTTCTATTTCTTTCTATTAATATTTCTTTCTTTTATATAATATTTTCTATTTCTACTTTCTATTTCTTTCTATTATATTCTATTTTCTATTCTACTTCTATCAATTTATTTATTTTTATTTTACTTACTATATATCATTATCATACTTCTTCATCATCATCATCATCATACTATATAAGTGGTGGTTCCCTTGGACTACCAACTCACTATATATCATCATCATACTTTATACTATATATATATACATCATATCATCATACTATATAAGTGGTGGTTCCCTTGGACTACCAACTCACTATATATCATCATCATACTTTATACTATATATATATACATCATATCATCATACTATATAAGTGGTGGTTCCCTTGGACTACCAACGGTATTCCCGTCATTTCCTTCCTTAAAAGAGCTCCTACCAATACTACCAAACCTATCAAAAATGGCTATGTAGGGCTAATTAATATTTCTTTCTTCATCATATCATCATCAT